ACTTTGGCATTTTTAATTAAAGGAAGCTGAAACCTCCTGTAAATTCACGAGGTTGCCCCCTTCACGCTGAGGGAGATGCACAGGGAATTTCTGTGGCAAGCTTAACCAGGTGCAGTAGTTACACCTGCAGTTCCCATTCTATCTTTAAGTCTCCTTTCCTAATAGGAATTTAAGTCCAACGCTTGCAAGCAATAGCTGCCCTTTGGGGTAAAACAGATCAGCCACCTCCACCATGCTGAATTTACAGCATCCATGAACAGGATGCTTTTGACTTTGCCTCTCACATGGATTGCTAGGCAAACTGTACTTCACCAGTTTGTTGTGTGGTTTTGTTTTTGTTTTTGTTTTCCCCAAGTGATCCCTTTAGTATTGCTGTCAGTGGAAATGGATAGATATCTTTCAGAAGGGATGATGCTGGTTTGTGCTGTGTCCTGGAGGAGTTTGCTGTGTGCAGCCACACTCCAAACCCTCAGCATTACTGGTGCCTTCACACAGTGGGTTTTCAGGGTTCAGGAGAAAGGGGTAAGAAGGATAAGCTGAATTTTCTGTATATATTCTAACCTGCAAATTACAATATGAGCAGAGGTTTAAAGACAGGCCTGGCAGCTCTGCCTTTGCCTGATATCTGTGAAGCTAATGGTGGGGGAGAGCCAACCCAAAAGTGTGATTACTCAGGAAAATAATAGTTTCTATAAGTAATTTATATTTGTGTGTAGAAAAATACCTTTATGCCACAGAAGACTTGTCTGCACCTGATTGAAAGTCTGGGAAAAGAGATGCAAGTTTTGAACAGAAGAAACAGAATGTAGTCATAGAATCACAGAATGGGTTGTGTTGGAAGGGACCTTAAAAATCATGTATTTACAATCCCCCTGCCATGAGGAGTTTCTCAAGGCTCCATCCAACCTGGCTTTGAACATTTCCAGGGATGGGGCAGCCACAGCTTCTCTGGGCAACCTGTGCCAGGGCCTCCCCACCCTCACAGTAAAGAGAGTGGTCTTGCTGTCCAGCAAGGACCAGCAAGGTGGGGAAACCAAGTAGATATCTCAGTTTATCTTCTCTTAACTGCAGAGAGTCAATTGTCCCCCAAACACGCCAGGATCAGGACAGTGTGGAGCTGTCCCAGCACTTCTGCACCTCTCCACCACTAAGATACTCTCGTGCAGAGCAACTGATGAGGCCAATTTCACATTATGTGTGATGTCCTCTCCATTAGACACTCACTGAAATCATCAGATAGTCCTAAAACTTTCTTTGCGGGCAATTTGAGAAGGATGATCATAATTTTCACAGAGCTCTCAGTTGATGCAGCGATGCACAACCTCAGACAGATCTGTCAGGGTTACTGAGATACACTGGAACCGCTTCAGCATTTGCAACTTGGTCATAAAAGCTGTGCTGTAACAATGGTGCTGATAGCCAGGGCCGTGTTTCTTAGAGATTCATGGAGAAGATGGATATATCCCCATCCCACAACGTGGTAGAATGTTTAGACCAGGAATATAAACTACTGCTGTCAAAAGCAATTCTGTGTTTGCTCGATTTCATCCCTGCCTGACAGGGAACTGCAGGACCCACATACTGTGGAGGAAGATTAGGAGCACGTGCTCTGCTGGGGTCAATGAAATCCCGTCCTTCTGCTTTGTTCGGAGTAGATTTGCAATTTTGAAGTTTCTCGGGGTAGCTCAAGTGAAACTACCTAGTTTGCATATAATTTCAGCACTCCAAATTAGCATAAATTTGCAGGAAAGTGTTTTCAGGTTCATTAATAATGGATGGGTGGTTACACCATCGGTGTGTTTGTTCTCAGCTTCCAAGAGGATCGGGGTGAGCTGCACGGAGGAAACTTCTTGGATACTTAAATGCTTGGGCTTTGAAACTCCAATAAAGCTCCAAAAAGCCAGGAAATTTGGAGTGAAGGCTGAAACTCCATACCTAGTGCACCCTACTGGGTCTTTGTATTTCAGAACACGTTACGTTTGTTCCCTGAAATATCTCCAGTGTGGAACTCTTTAGGGTGGAGTTTCACCTTTAACTCTAAATTTCCTGGCATGTGTGAGTTTGAAGTACACGCTCAGCTTTTCCTCAGTGCTGTTTTTCATTTTTAATTTCCTTTTTCTTTTAATGGAGGGACCCTGTTAGAAGAACCCCTACTAAAAAGGGACCCCACTGGAACAAAGATTAGAGGTTTTGGCCTAATTGAGTCTTTCTGAAATTCCTTAGGAGAACTAGATTCAGCAATTTTATTTTTTTTTCCTACAGTTGTTTTAAAGACTCTTGTGGCCAATCCACTCCAGTGAAAAAGATCGATAAAATCCTCACCCTGCAGACCAATTATTTCAGAAGGTACCCAGATGTTTGTGTAGTTTATAACAAACCTTGGAAACACAACATCTCCTGTAAATTGCACTTAAAGGTCTGGCCATTGATATGGGTGAGCTGTCTGTTGTGAAATGAATTATTTCTGTTAATTCAGTAATTGCAGAAGCAGCCCATGTTTGCTGTTGACACTTGTTGGGTTACATCAGTGATGGTAAAATAGTGGAAATAGCAGTGGTTTGGAATGAAAGCAGTGGCAATTACCTGCAATGCTTTTAAAAATAATTTTGGCCCTAGATGTTGAAAAGATGTGTCATCGCTGATTTGTGCGAGGGCAGCTTCAGCAGGGTTGAATTACAAGGCTTTGGAGAGTAAAATTCTTTCTCCTGCCTCAAAATTCAATCTTTAGAGCTATACTGCCAGTAGATAATATGGAATAAATTTGCTTCTCATGCTATAACCTTGTTGTGTCAATAAATTGAGGACTTCAGTCCTTTGCTGCTCTGTGCTGGGACTGGTACCCTGCAGCACTAGAGAGGATGAGGAAGTCCCTGTATCCTCTGCTAAGCTGAATATTTCTCATTCCAGCTCATAAAAGCACTTTGCCACTTTACCAGGAGACAATATCCTTCTCCTTTCTCCCTTTCCAGTATGGCCCCATCAACATCCTTGTGTTGTATTTCCAGCCTCGACTTTGTAATACAGATCACAGCTGGTTGGTTTGAATTTCCCCTGAGTTACCCAGGATGCTGCTGAAAGCACAGGAAGAGCAGAAATGCTTTAATCAGTTAAATCAATCAAAGAAAAGAGAAGGAAAAAAAAAAGTAGACTAGACCTTAAAATTTACCCTGTGACCTTTGGTACTCACTGCGATGACGTCTTCGTCGTATTTCTTTAAGAGCAGGATTTCACCGGGACTTGGCAGAAGGGTGGAGCGAGGAAGACACGGGAGGGGGAGGGGGGGTTGGTTTGCTGAGTTAAAAAAAGGAAAAAAGAAAAATGTCAGTGAAGAAATGGAAATACCCTGATGTTCTCCAGCCTGGAAGAGCCGGCCTCTCTCTCCCTGTGTCGAAGGGAAGGGGCTCCTTTTCCATTAGCTTGACTATGACGGTGTTTAATCGGTTTGCTCTGACTTGGAGCCAAGGAAGGGCTTTGCTGTGTGATGCTGGGTCCTGTGTGTGTTCAGGCATCCACAGCTGTTCCCTTGCAAGGGCTGGCTTTTGACTACTGAGGTATTTTTTTATAGCCACAGAGGGCAACTATTAATAGATGAGATTTACCAAAACACAGAGCTACGCAGCGTGGCGTGGAGGGGAAGAGGGGAAAGACACAGCAACCTGTGTGATTTATGTCAGGAAAATTCCATGTTGAAATTGTGCTGGAAGACTCAGTAAAAAGGAATATGCCAAGAAGGGCATTTAATCTGTTACTTGGGCCATGCCAGCATTTCTCCCCCTTTAAAGGATCTGCCCCATCACATGAAACATGTTGCTGAATTATTTCTTCGGCAGTAAACAGCACAAATTGTACAAAGGATGAAGATAAGACACATAGACACGAAATGCCAGCTTTTCTGAGATCAAAAGGAAGCGGAGACATTCCTGACCCTGAAGATGTTTCAGTTTGATCAGATGTGGGATTAGGGGTAAAATGTGAAGAGTTCCACATTGTGTGGCAGGAAGAAGCTGATCAGGAGTTTGCCTCTCTGCTTATTGATTCATTTCTAATTTCCATGATATGATGTAATGAGACTGGTGGCCTTGTCAGACTTGCAAATTATATTCATATATTGAAGAAGACAGGTTAGTGAGAGTGGAGCAGAAAAGAGTAAGGGTGTCAATTTAAGCCTCTTTTGCAGTCAGAACTCAGACATTGATTAAATATCCTAAAATCCAGATGATATCATTTAAAAGACCCATCACTGTAATCACCTACCCATTTTTTGTGCACCTTCCAAAGCATAAAAGGGAATTAAATTCCCAAGCCAAGATCCACTGACTAGCTGTAGACTGTGGGTATCAAAATCCCCCTTACGCTTTAAAAAGCTTTGCCTTGTTTTGTGTTTTCATTAACTAATTACTTTGTTTTGTTTATTTAAAAGTGAGTCAGAAAGAGATTAGCTGGTGAAAAATTGTATAAAAATAAGGAAATATGCTACACTCATTAGGGGAATGTGGGTAGACGCTGAAAAGGCCAGAGCTTACTTTGCTTCACGTGAGTGTCAGAAAGAATGGAAATATTTCCAAATATCTGAACTGCTTAGGTTTGCACAACTGGTTGAGAACAGTTACAAAACAGCATTTTTCTGTGATCTCCTGATTTCCACAAGCTTGATGATGCTCTATTCCTGCCTTTAATCCCAGGAAGCACAACGGGAGGCAAACATAGGCACGCCCGAGAAATACTGAGAACTGCATACTTATATTATTCAAAACACCTGAATATGTTTGGGCTTGGCATTTCTGGTTAAGGGGGTTTATTTTGCCTTCATGCTGATCCCTCCTGAAATGTGAAGTGTCACTGTTATTGCACTGAGAGCTGAGGGTAAGGACTGGCTATTTGGAGTTGTTGCTCAGTTAGTTCCTTAGGGAACGAGTTGTGCCATCTGCTCACCACAGGTATAGACACACAGCGTAGGCTTGACTGAGAGAATTAACATCTTAAAGTCTTTATCATTGCAGGAGAAAAGGTAAGATCTTCCACTAGGATTCAGGGCACCAAGTTTAGAGCCTGAAAATAGGTATCTAAATGTCCTTCACAATTCATATCAGGCTTCCCCATCTCACTGCGTTCCTTCACAGTCATTCAGTCTTTCCTATTTTTGTGTACGGAGTGTTGTTCCAAATGTATGTTATGCTTTCTGTCTGGGCTGAGTTACACATCCCAAGCTCTTTGAAGTCCATAGAAAGATTGAACTCCCAAAGATTTTGGTCCTTGGCTTAGATCCCCACATCCAGAGCACGAGTGAGGTCGAGAGCGTTCCTGAGAAAAGGGCAGTAGGTAAGGGGAAAGCTCCTACAGAACAGCACTGCACTAGAGTGAGTACAAGAAACGTTTTGGGTAAGGATTGATGGCAAGAGTTCACAGCATTATGAAAATCACTTCCCTTTTGCCTCCAGCATTTTTACCACGACTGTGTCTGTGCCAAAACCCAGAACGCACTCACTAATTCTTCCAGAATTGATCGGTCATGATAAACTTCCAAACACAGAGTAAAATGCCTCCGTCAGACACATCAGAGTGTGTTTCTCCCAGTTTGCCTGAAGAAATCTGTGCTGTTTGAATCTTCCCCTGCACCTAATTTGATTCAGAAAAAAGGCTGGAAGTTCCTGGCTCCCTCCTCATAACACTCAGAATTCTTCTAATAGATTTATTTCTGAGGATAGATTTATTCGTGTGTTTTTGTTACAGAGTGTCTTGTTTGTGGAGGGTGATTAAACGTTGGAATGGACTGCCTGGGGAGGTGATGGAGTCATCATCCCTGGAGGTGTTCAAGGAAAGGCTGGATGTGTCACTCAGTGCCATGGTCTGGTTGACAAGGTGGTATTTGGTCGTAGGTTGGACTCACTGACCTCAAAGGTCTTTCATAACTCTACTGATTCTGTGATTTTTGTCTTAAAAATTCAGGCTAAAATCTTTAGCTCTTCTCATCTTGATCAGACACGAAGTTCTCTTTTCATCCATCTGGGAAAAATACCCGAAGCATTTCCACTTTTTTGATCTAGAAATCCATCATGAGGAGATGATACAAAAGGTGCTTCGAGGATGCCTTCTCTTCCCCCACAGCTGAGCAAGGCAGGATGTCAAGTTTTACAAAGTTCTTGGCACGTGCCTGCACTGGCATCTGAGTTGTGGAAGTGAGGGAATTCATAACAATCCCCCTCTGTCTTTGACAGGGAGCTGCAAGACATTTCATGCTAACATTGGCTTTATAAATGTGGTTTATAATTTGAGGTCTCTGTGTGTGGAAATGGACAAAAATGACAACCTGCAGGTTTTGCTGGATCCTTCGCAGAGTTGGGTTTTTAGCCATCAAGATCTTAAGTCCTGTAGCAGTTGATGGTGACACATTACCAATAAATTACAGCAGCAAACCAGGGCAAAAGCTGATGTGTGGCTGAGATAAGCAGAGTGAGAGAGGTTGCAAATGTTATTTGTTATTTATGGGCAAATTAAACTGTGTGGCCTGTCCACAGTGGTTGTACTCAGGGCAAAAGTCGGTCAAGAAATTTGCTATAAAGGAAAATTAGAGTTTTGCCCTTCTTGTGTTATCATCTAACAATGGAGAACAGATCTTTGCATTCTCACAGCCCTTTGTTAGAGGTCTGGGTTTGATTCAAGTGGATCCACAGGCTCGTGGTGCCAAAACAGGCAATTTCTGCACTCATGTCTGAAGGCCAAATATATGGGTATGATTTCCTATAGTTTACAGTTACATGCTGGATCAGTGCTGCACGTTTTATGAGCTGCCAGTCCAATTTAGCAGGGTCTTGGGAAGTGTGTCCTCCAGGGATTGCTTACAATCAGCCTTATGTTTTGCACTGATAGCGCCTGTTTTCTGGTACTCGTGTTAGCAGATCCATATGTGAGGAAATCCAAACGTCCTTCCATCCAACTAATAACCTGGGCATTTAGCTGTGGCTGCTGCCCACTGCTCATTTAAGGAGTAGAGGACATTTTATGCCTGATACATCCCCCAGTTCAAGAACCATCCACACATGTACGATGGGGTTTGTGGGACCTGTGCGGAAGTTTCAGGTCCTGCACCGGTTTAAAAACCAGAGACTCTGAAAGTTCTTGTGTGTTTGGAAAAGGCACATTCACATCTTTCCTCCTGCTTCCCTCTGGCTCAACAGAGGGAAATGAGGGGCAGGATTTTGATGTCAAGGAATTCATTATGTTAGTGGTGCCTGTTACAGCCAGTGCTGCCGTGTTTTGCTGGATTTAGAAAACACACTGTCCACAGTATTTTCTCTCTGCAACTCTGAACTATTTTCATTGCAGGTGTGTTGTTGTTTCTGCCAGGTCACCTGGCAATTTTACTGTGGATTCTGGGAACTTCAAAGCTGAATGTTCTTATGTAAAATTTCTGTTTCGGTGACTGACATTTTCAGTTTCCTTGTAATCTCGTCACGGCTGGGAAAGAACAGCTTTTGTAGATCTCATAATATTTAGTAGTAGACTATTCAGTTGTTTTGGTTTTGTGTGTTCTAGACTTTGCTGTTGAAGATAAAGACTTAAATGTATGAATCATCAATATGCCTGAAAAAAAAAAAACCACCATAATCCAAAAGGAGCTAAATATTAGTCCTTTGTTGTGAGAGGGAGAAAAAAAAATCTCATGAACTTTGGAAATGTGAGGCTTTTAGTGCCAGGGCACAAGCTTTTCTTGGTTTCCTTGAATTGAAGTCTCTATGACCAGACTACGTTCTTTGTGATCTCACTTGGGTGTCTCCTACCCTTTCCTGCATAAGATGAAATAAGGGGGAATTTCAACCAGTCTCATTTGAATCAGGTTTTAATTTCTTTCTTAGAAAAGAGGGAGATTGGGATTATCCTAACCATAAGCCCCTGATGATCTGCCCACAGCAGCAGGACCAGCTTCATGCAAAGCCCTGCCAGGAGGTTAAGAAATGAGATTTGGAAGTCCATGAGTTATAAAAATAAAACCAGCAAGGAAGCGGCATCTCCAAAGCAAAAGTGATGTTTTGCAAGCTGCATATTTGGACTGGTTATTTTGGCCCATCAACTCCAGAAGGGCCTGCAATAAACATGCTTGGTCCTTCGTGGTTATATATGATTTTGTTTTATTTTTTTGTTGATGTCGGCTGGATTCCAAGTCTCTCTTCATTCCAATCGCAATGTATATCTGTCTTTGTGGCACGGGGTTTATGTGCAGGGAGGATTAGTGTCAAAAAGTGAGATGAAAGGAGCAAAGAATTTGATCTTGTTCTTTTTCCATCCTGCATTTTTTGCTGTGTGTTAATTGGGAAAGATGCTAAAGGACCAGCCTCTTAAAGTCCCAGCTGCACGCCCTGCAGAGACAGTGCCACACGAGCACCCCATGGCCAGTGCTCCCCACCCTGACCTTCCTAAAAATCCCAAATATTCCCGTGTAGGTGACCATTAGAACCCACCTAGGCAGGGTCCCTGAGGCTGCTCCTGCAAGGGCAGATGGCACAGGGAGCTGGAGCCCAGGACAGAGCAGTGTCCACTCCATAGGGTAACCCCATGCTTTCCAAGGACTCTAAAGAAGGGACAAAAAGTGCTCCAAAAGTGCCAAACCAAGGTTACTCCAACCATGAGTCCCACCAGCAAGGCACGTGTTTGGGCAGGCTGCCAATGTGACCTCAAGCCTGACCCAGGATGGAGATGAGAAGGACAGGCTGGAGTTGAGTATCAGTGGTGGAAATTTTTAGACATCTTTAATGCAGAGAGTTGCTCCGAGTTAGTCCCACAACTAAAGAAAATAAAAGAAAAATTCACAAGTTGCCTCTTGATCTCTAACTTCCAGTCTGACTAGTCTGACTCCTAGCCTTGCACAGGACCATCCCAAAGACTCACACCAATGACCCTTGGGGATATTCCTGTGCAGGGCCAGGAGTTGGACCCGATGATCCTTCTGGGTCCCTTCCAACTCAGCACATTCTGTGATCCTGTGGCTAACAGAGGCTCTTCCTAACTCTTGCCCTGATTCAAGGCAGTGATGACAGGCTGCTTTCCTGATCTCTGGTGCTTCTCTTAAAAAAAAAATCAGGTTTGTTCTGGTGACTGTAACCAAAATGTCCTTTGCTTGAACTATTGTGTAGAGTTGCTGTGCCTGTATCTGTTGGTTGTTCTTGGAAGCTTTGGGATGAGAGATGGTGTGTAAGTGCCAAATTTTATTAGACTGGTGGGTGCTCCCTCCTTGAGTCCTGTTTCCATAAGAGTATCTCTTTATGAAGTTTATGTGCTGCATTATTGTCAGAAAAGGTGAAGCTGAGGGATTCAGGAAGGACCAGTTTATCATAGGGAGCTCTGATGTTCCATTTGTGGAGCAACTGGCCTCCAGGACTTCTTTGGAGATTGTAAAATACAAGTCAAAGACTGTATACTATGAGTGAAGGCTTGTAAAATATGATTAGCGGCCACCAGCAGAAAACTTCAAGGATCAGCAACACAAGACACCACTTATTTAATGGAAAGATGATCCATATTATCAGAAAACACAGCCTCAGGAGAGCGAGTGGATAATCCTTGCTGTCACACTGAATGATTGTGTTACTTCAAACAAATTATTTCACTTCTTCATCGCAGTTCTCCCATTCAGAAGGCAAGGAAAAATATTCTGTTGGCCTATTCCATGACTTCTTCAGTCATGGTAAAATTTCTTGAAGGGAGGCCCAGCACAAGGGGTCTTGTCCTGATTCAGTGGGTGGATGGGGTTTGGAGCAGTGCAGGGGCTGGTGTCAGGGCTTTGACCAGAGTGGAATGTCTCTCTTCATGTTTAGGAAGCATTTTGAGGCCCAGAGGGGAAGCACTGTGCAAGTGCCAAGCAGTATAACTGATGGTTAATATAGCCTAAAAATATATATATATATATATATATATATACACACCTTCCTATATGGGTTAAAACTCTCCCATGTACATGAATGAGGTTTGTTGCAGCCAAAAAAGGTTTTCATAGAGTGGCAAAGGAAATCTGTT